CTATTTCGGGCTTATGGTCGTCGGGCCGACGGGTGGGCTTGCGTCCCCTTTGGCCTCTCATGTCCAAGGGAGGCCCATTTTGTTTGCAAATGATTTGGACGTTCACGAAAATGGCTCTATTTTCTTCACAGATACCAGCATGAGACACAACAGAAGGCAAGTTTTCTTTAGTTAAAATTTGGATTTTCAAATGAAAACTCATATGGTTTGGGTGTCATCCACAGCAGAAAAGACCAGCTAAAAAGGAACTTTCAATAATTTCGATGCGTTTTTTTTACCACATATATAAGGTTGTCAAAAATTAGTAAACAATGATTCTTTACAATTTAAATGCATGGTTAGAACATGTCTAAATCATCCGAGATTTTATTTCTAAAGAGGTGATTTGTATCAGATGCAATCTGACGGTAGATATTTCAATTTAAGATCCAAAACATAAATTTAGGCGAACACTATCAACAATTGTGTCTAGCTTATAACTCAGTAATTAACAATGATAATTTGATTATGGAGCGCTAATTAATCTGTGGGAACTTTTAGGATAAATTTTGAAAAGCAACTCATTTCCAAAAATAATTGTAAAAAACGACCTCTTTGAAACTTATTTGTCAAAAGCAACCCAGTTAAAATGGGTCGTTTTTGGCAAAATAATAATAATAATAATAATAATAATAATAATAATAAAAATCACGGGACTTGAAGTCCCGTGAAGTTTGGTATGTTTTTCACCAAAAATGCTGGGTCGTTTTTGGCAAATAAGTTTCAAATAGATCGCTTTTTATGAATAAGTTTGGAAATGGGTTGGTTTTCAAAATTTGCCCTAATTTTTATGTCTGCAGGCATCATTTCTTCATATTGCTAGAAGCAGAAGCCACTGGGAGGCTATTAAGATATGATCCTCAGACTAAAACAACACATGTTGTGTTAAGTGGCTTGTCATTTCCTAATGGAGTGCAAATATCACAAGATCAGACATTTCTCCTCTTCACTGAGACAACCTACTGCAGGTAACAGAAACACACACTGCTCAATTACCAGAAACCCCTTAACTAAAATGTTTTCTTTATTATTATTTTTAAAATCTCATCATCCATGATCATTAACAAAACACCGCTGATTTCGTAACGATGCTTTTTTAATTATAAAAAAACATTATTTTGTTAAAAAAACATAAGTTCATCTTTATTTTCTTCTCTTCAACTCAAGTTCTCGACGTTTTTCCATTTTGTTTACTCAGGCAAAAACTTAGGTTCAGACATTTGAGGAGCAAGACTCGATTTTAGAACTGAACAATTTCATTAACACTCAAGAGGCTCAGAGGATTTTCTGTTGAACTTTTTAGATGTGGGGGTTTCTTGTAATTCAGAATGCAGATAGGTTTAACAAAAAAAAAAAAATCTAACTTTTTACAGGTTGATGAGATACTGGCTAGAGGGACCAAAAACAGGAAAGCTCGAAATTTTCGCAAACCTCCCTGGATTTCCCGATAACGTCAGAATGAATGACAAAGGGCAGTTCTGGGTGGCCATAGATTGTTGCAGAACAAAAGCTCAGGAAGTCATGTCCAAGCATCCGATTTTAAGGAGCGTATACTTCAGATTGCCATTAAAGCTCAGTTTTCTGGCAAAGCAAACAGGGATGAAGATGTACACGGTAGTTTCGCTGTTTGATGAAGATGGGAAAATTGTTGAAGTGTTTGAAGATAGAGGGGGGGAGGTGATGAAGTTGGTGAGTGAAGTCAGGGAAGTTAAGGGGAAGCTTTGGGTTGGGACTGTGGCTCATAATCATATTGCTACTCTTGATTATCCCTAGTATTTTGAGTTTGTGTTTGTTTCAGTGCTGTCTTTGGTGAAAATGTTGGTGTCTGGGGATTCCTTTGGTTATTGTTATGCGTTGATTCTTTAAATTTGAGGTTGTGTTACATGTGTTGTGCTAAGTTGTTATGAGTGAACTGTTGGAAATTTTCACCCTGTTTCATAGAGAGAATAACTCTTTAACTGTTAAGAGTCATCATGACTTTGGAGTTTCGATGCAATGGAAGGACGCTCAGCATGCGGGAACATGTCAGAACATAAAAAAAAAGCCCTCAACCTTCACTACGACTTCAAAGTTTTCACGATGCGGAGGGGATCATTAACAGTTGGTAATACGAGACTTGTAATAATTTGTGCTGCAACAAATAAAAATGATAAATGGATACTAGGAACATGGTGTTAGCCTTTCTCATGAGACAGATACTATAAATGGTGTAAATAGTAGGTAAATAAAAGATTTTCTACAGAGTCAGCTTACAGATTCTTGGATTTCAGAGTGACCTTGATATTGCAGTCAGCTTATGGATTTAGCTTTTAGCAAAGCCACTGAGTACAAATTTTATTTGGAGATTGTTTCTGTTGGATTCTCACTCATGATGTTGTATTCATCAAAGAAACTCCTCTTAAAAAGTACCATAGGTGATATGATACCATGTAAAACTTTGAGGTACAAAGTGATCATGTACAATTGAAACCAGAGACAAAAGAGAGAGAAAAACATACCATCATCATGCTTCCTTCATATATTATGTGCCCACTTGAGGTACATACACGAGAGAGAATAAACAACAAACTGCTAATCTCCCCTCTTGGTTAACAGGAAGTTTGCATCTTATCTTGTCTTCAACAAACTAAGAAGCATTAGATAAATTAATTTCTGCCCGAAGATTTCAACATACAGTACAATAAAACATATCGTACAATGGAGGCTGTCATTTTGCGCCCCCACTCTAAATCATTGAGACCTGGGCAATCGATAATTGAATAAATCTCACTCTTGGTCGACGGCCACCATGTTGATTGATTACTGCTAACACGAGAAGCACAGCATGAAAAAAGAGGCTTGCATCTGGTAACAGAACCAAAACCAATCTTTCGCAGAAGAGAAAAAAATGTACTGAGTTTTATGTCCGGAGAAATGGTGATGGTGTTCCTGGCGTCCTCGGACTTTCAGAAATTATAATATGGCCTGGGAGTTTTGTGGACTGCTCGCCGAGGCTGATTTTGCCCTGAATGAGAGAAGCTCTCTTAGGATTGAAGAGCAAAAGCTGCTGCATGTCTTTAGGAAGCACATTGAATACCGCCTGCAGATCTCCCTTCAGTTTCTGGCATGCTGCTGAGGAGTCTGCATTCCCACCTTTGAACTGCTGCAGCCACAAGAGCAAATATACAAGTGTAAATTGCAGGCTCAAAACGAAAGCAATGTTTGAAACTGAATGTCAATATAAATGTTGGCAAAGTCATCTTGTTGGGTCTAGGACTCTAACACATAAATGCATAATTTATCACATGAATAGAGGTCCAAACATAAAAGAGGATGTATCTGGCATGCTATCAAGAAGAAACAACCACAAACAAACATCCGAAATAGAGAAAGTAACTTAATTACCAAACAGTTCAGTCAACAACAAACCACACCACTGCAATGACAGTTAGATTTTCACAATGCAATGCATGGAAGCTATAAATTGTTACAGGACTCTAAACCATTATATCCTCACATGAATAACCCCATCGGCAGTTTCTCACCTGAAGAGAGCACATGGAGACCAAAATGTGATTTTCCCCTAAATTTAACAATGGGCAAATAAACAAGCCTCCTCGCAATTTTTGGTTCAAATGAAACATAAGGGACCTTGACCTGCTGATCTTATAACATTTTGATGCAGATGTGCAGCAAATTTTGGGCTTTGATCCCTTTCATACACGTGTTTTATTTATTTTATTCTTTTGGAGTTGTTGTCGTAGTTGTTGTTCTTTTTTTTTTCTTTTTTTTTTTTGGGGGGGGGGGGGTTGTTTTTTTCAAGGG